AAGATCCAAGGGAAGCGATGCTGGAAACCGATGTTCAAAGAGAGGTAACAGGTACCAAATGTGGCAGCCGGCGAGGCGTTGACGACCTTAAGGAAGAGGCACCGGCACTGGGCTGCTGAGGGAGGAGTGACACACGAATTAGCGTAAGTGTCAACCCAGGAAACGGCTGCTGGAAACTCCAGTAATATTGGTGGCATCGACCATCGGGCCGACTGGTTTTACCCGTTTGCTCTGATTGGAAATGAAGTAGGAAGGAGAGATGCAGTGACGGGTTTTGGCACCGAATGTGTTTTGCGGTGGTGGCTGCAATGGGAGGTGATGAAGTTGACTGATCAGGCCGGAAAGATTAGGGTGAGGAGCAAGATTGCCACAGTCATAACTTGGCTTACTCTTAATTTCCTTTACCCATCCAAGTAACCTCAGTCCTTGTTAGATATAGCAGCTGAATTCTTTATTCACAGTGGACGGATATTGGATATGCATGGCCATATAAATTAAATGTGTGCGTTAGTTCGACCATCGATTTTGATGGTGCCCACCATATATATCCAAGAGCGGGGACGGTGACTGTAGTCAGGTATAGTGAAAGTAGACGAGCACCATTTAGCCCACTCTAAACCCTCTCCCCGCTTGAACCGGTGACAAGACAAAGTTGACATGACCGAGTAGGAATCGTGCGTAAGCCGCTTTCTCCAATGCAGCCAGAAACACCGCTTAACTCAGTCTTACTTGACAGTAACCTTTCACGCTGGTGCTATTGCACTATCTTCCCTCAATCACCTATGGTAGGTAACCAGAAAGATTCGAGGAGCCCGAATTTCATCTTTCCACTGTTTATACTGCTGCTTCTAACGGTGTATCTGAGTGATTGTAGTGCTGGTATTATTACTGACGCTAATATTTGGTCAGAAATGACACTGATTGGAGTCAAATCTGGACCCGTGTTCCCTTGATCTCAACTAGGAGCGGGGACCTGGATGTCTGCTATTCCGAGTGGAGTAGGTGTTTTAGGTTCGGGGCACATCATTGCTTGCCCAGATTGTTTCGTAAAGTTTAAATTACATGTACTGCAGGCATACGGGCGCAAAGGGACCAGAGTCCTGATTTACATATGATATCATTTTCGTATTGGCACAAGTTAGTTGGCAGGACCCCAGCCGCTGTGATGGCCAGATCCGGTTCTTTGTGGGAAGAGAATAAGTGAGACGCTAGGCAAGAGGAATAGTATATTCTGTACAGAGGTAGTGGCAAATAGGTTGGCAGAAGTTGGCATCGGGACGGGCGTAGGTTTGTGGCAGCCTGAATTCGGTAGTGCTGCGCGTATTCACCCCCTTCTCATCTTCCAAACCTTGGTCTAGTCGCGCGTCCAGCGCTGACTCATCCTCTTACCTCTGCGGGCTTTTTCACCCCCGCTGTCGACGTGCCAGCGCCTGGAGCTAATCGATTCCTTGCGAACGCCGACGCCAATACTTGCACTCTTTCCAGATTGGCTGATGACTGGACAGTGTTTCGCTAAGCCCGCTCGAAGAGACCCTTTTACACCTACGCAGCTGGACTTGCCGACGTTATTACGGTTGTGCTCGTTTCTTCAATATTATCCCTTTTAACACTTTTGCGTGTTACGTCTTAATTATTTTGGGATAATACTCGCTAGGAGCTTCGTTAGTTAGTTCGGACCTCGAAACGCGACAGGTTCGCAGCCACGAGAGCTGACACCCGAATTGCGAGAGCACAGCAGTCGTCACAGTGAAGTTCTGTGTGAGTCAGCCTTGAAGGTGAGTGGCCATACCATGTTGGGGGCCCTGGTGTGTAAGTGCACGCAGTCAACAGAAGTTGAACGATGTCTGCGGACTTGTCTCACTACAGGTGTTCCCTTACCAGGCCAGAGTTTGGATGAAAAAAAAATGCGAAGATTAGTGAGCCAACTGTGCTCTCACATTTCGAAGCCACAAAAGGAACAATCGTCCAGGCGGATGCATCGGTGTATGGGTTAGGTGGTTTTCTTTTTCAGGAGGGTTCAAGCGGAAATATCTTACCGTTAATGAATGTTGTAGGATCACTCACAAAAGCAGAACGAAACTACAGTCAACTCGAGAAGGGGGTAGTTGCACTCATCTTTGCCGTACGGAAGTTCCACCAATTCATTTACGGGCGACATATTTTATACTCCACACCGATCACTAACCACTAAAGTCTTAGTGGGCACGAATCGTGGCGTGTCGCAAAACGCGACCAAGAAGATTCAACAGTGGAGTACTATTCTCCGCAGTTATGAATTCACAATCTGGTTCGTGCCTATTGAGGGCTAGTTGCTGTCTCGACCTCAGAAGGATCCCCAAGTCACGAGTCTGGGAAGACGGAATGAATGGGAACAACTTTACTGAGCTTAAGTAGCTTTACAGTAGGTGCCGCTCGTGCCGCATACAGAAGCCAGTCGAGTCGGTGTAAAAGTGTCTATGCGCGCGGGTTAAGCTAAGCCTGTCCAGTCATCACCTAATCAGGAAAGGTTGCAGG